TGTGGCAGGGAGAAGACCATCAACAAATGCATGTGCCAAGGCCCCCTGCCCATTTACATCGGGCTCTTGTATTCCTGAATGTTGTAGGAAAATATCAGTTAGCCGGGACCTATAGTCGCCTGGGCTTTCTCCTTGCCCTTGCTTACAGCAACGTATTGCTGTCCAGTTTGTTTTAGGAGACCACACTTTGGGAATGGCTTGATGCAGGCGCTTCCAAAGAGCCATACACTGGTCTCTGTACGCCAAATCTGGGCCAGTACTTTTTATGGTTGAGTGGCGTGCCTCAGCTGGCCAGTCTGCGGCAGCCAACCATTTTTCATAATAACTGGCAGGAGCTAACAATTTACACAGTTGGAGGAGATCTGTCTCAGAGGGTTCATAGGTTTCACAGATTAACAGAAACTCCTCAGCAAATTTGACAGAGTTTTCCTGTGGTTTGGGAAAACTTTTAACTATAAACACAAAGACAAGACAGTCCTCAAACCGGTTAAAGCACAAAAATAATAATTACCTGAGACGTCTGATTACCTAGGGAGGTGGTAGAATCTCCTTCCTTAGAGGTTTTTAAGGTCAGGCTTGACAAAGCCCTGGCTGGGATGATTTAACTGGGAATTGGTCCTGCTTTGAGCAGGGGGTTGGACTAGATGACCTTCTGGGGTCCCTTCCAACCCTGATATTCTATGATTCTATGTTTCCTAGATAGGGTTTGTTTTTCCTATGTATGTGATTTTATTTTCTGGGGATATTTAGCATAACAAGGTTTTCTACCATATTGGTTTTTAATTAGCATTTTCACATTGACTCTTGTTGATATAGGCTTTTTTGTTAAGTTTTCCAAATATGCCTTGTATCATAAGCATTAGGTACTTATCAATATTCTTGCATAATCTCATAATCCAAATTTATTCTAGCACACTGACACACCAATGCACATGGAAGAATCTGGATATCAAATTACTCTATTATATTATAAATATGTAAACCCGGTGGTAAAGAGGCAGAATCAGTTTTGGGACATAGCATATAGCTCTTGAAGGAATTAACACTGCATTATCAAGCAGGACTGAATTAAAAATTCTTGGGGCCCTGGGCACTTGAGTTCTTCTCCTCTTCCCAATAGGATTAAAAGACATCATTTGAAGGATTAACAGAATAAGGGAACACTGCACGCACGAATCGGTCTTAGATTGTAAGCTCCTTGGGGCAGGGACCATCTTTTTGTTCTGTATTTGTATGGCACATAACAAAACGGTGCCCTAATCAATGACTGGCTCCTACGTACTACAGAAATACAAATAATTAATAATTGCTTTCCTTCCTGCAGCTACATCAGTTCTGGATAATAACTTACTTCCTTACTTTTTCCCCAGTAGCTGTTCTGGGAGGTGGAAGTTAACGGTGGCTTGCAGCTCTATAATCTCTGATTAAACGTCAAGTGGTTTCACCAACAGCATTTCCCACAGCTCCTTGCTATAGAGAAGGCCCAAGGTACTCAGCAGCAAAATGAGCCTAAATTCTGCAGCAGTTCTATTTCAATATGGAGGTTTTTCATTAATTATGAAAGTATCAGCACAGCAGTTTCACTGTTGATATTAAATTAAGTTCACAATATTTGTAGTTTTCAGTATGTCACGTTTTTGTACTGACAATGTATAATTGCACCAGAATAGTCTGTGGGAAAACTGAATATGGAACTGTTCGGGTTTTGTCACCTGAGCAGGTATGTTAAGCATTTTGAGATGGTGCAATAAGCACATCTGTTGGATGTATCATCTAAAATGATAAATGGTGTTGACACTCTTAGACTTTCTGCAGAATTTAAGGCTTGTCTACACTTGAAGCACAGCAGCTGTACTGGTTCAGCATAGACCCTACTGATGCTGACAGGAGGGGTTCTCCTGTCAGTATAGGTAATCCACCTCCACAAGAGGCAGTAGCTAGGTTGTTGGAAGAATTCTTCCATTGACCTAACGCTGTCTACATTGCGGGTTATGTCAGTTTAACTACATCACTCAGGGGTGTGGATTTTACACCCCTGCACAATGTAGCTGGCTTGCTCTAACTTTTTTGTGTAGGCCAGGCCTTAAGAAAATCCTATTGCAGTTTACTTCCTGTTCACATTTTCAAAGTTAGTTTTGGAACTAGAAGGGTTAGAAATAATGCCACTATATAAATCCATGGTACGCCCACACTTTGAATGCTACGTGCAGTTCTGGTCACCCCATCTCAAAAATATATATATTAGAACTGAAAAAAGTACAGAGGAGTGCAACAAAAATGATAAGGGGGATGGAACAACTTCCCTGCGAGGAGAGATTAAAAAGACTGGGACTGTTTAGTTTAGAAAACAGATGCCTAAGGGGGGATATCATAGAGGTCTATAAAATTGTGAATACTGTGGAGAAAGTGAATAAGGAAGTGTTATTTACCCCTTTGCATAACACAAGAACCAGGGGTCACCCAATGAAATTAATAGGTAGCAGGTTTAACACAAATATTAGGAAGTACTTCTTCACACAACGCACAGTTAACCTTTGTAACTTGTTGTCCGGGGATGTTGAGAAGGCCAAAACTAGAACTGGTTTCAAAATATAAATAGATAAGTTCCTGGAAGATAGGTCCATCAGTGGCTATTAGCCAAGATGGTCAGGGACCCAGTCCCAAGCTGTGGGTGTTCCTAAACCTCTGCCTGCCAGAAGCTGGAACTAAAAAACAGGATCACTCGATAAAATGCCCTGTTTCTTTTATTCCCTCTGAAGCATGTGGCACAGGCCACTGTCGGAAGACAGGATATTGGCCTAGATGAACCATTGGTCTGACCCAGTAGGGCTATTCTTATGTTCTTATGAAATAATTTTATAAAATGAAAGTTTAGATACCAGAGCACAGTTCTGCCACAAGGAGAAGAGGTATGCAAGAATTCTATGGCCATGCAGTCCAAAGGGTTCTAGAGCATTTCTACAGATATTTTCAAAGGCACAGGTGCACAGAGCCCATTGAAAAATCTAGCCCATAAGTGAGATTAAGCAAACACCGACCTGAAGCCTAAGATATTGTAAATGCATTTATAGTTCAAATAAAAAGCCCATGAAGGGAGAAATACATGAAGACATTCCATTTAAAATTTGAAATAAGAGTTTGAGACATAGTACCAAGCAGGTACTACAGTGTCTCCAATGTTTAGTAAACATGTAACTTTAGGTCCCCCTGTGACAAATCATCCCAAATTTAGCCTAATCCTCTCTTGCTGCAGCTCTGAAACAGCCACTCTCAAAGGACTTTTCCATATGCATGAGAAGAGGAGCGAGAGGAAGAAATGAATGCTCATGCAGCTCTTGGAAGACAGATGTAATGTGCTTGCTATAAGAGATGCTGCTCAGAAGCCTTTATCTATATGTACTGAACTTTCTTGGAGGGCCTGCTTTTATCTCTCCAAATCTGTCTACGCTCCACGCCAGTCCCAATATAGTACACGCTGTTCTAGACTAGGGCTGTCAAACGATTACAAAAAATTAATTGTGATTGATTGTGAAATTTAAAAAAATAGTCACGCTTAATCAGTTTTAATTGCACTGTTAATAACAAAAATGCCATTTATTTAAATATTTTTGGATGTCTTCTACATTTTCAAATATATTGATTTTCAATTACAGCACAGAATACAAAATGTACAGGGCTCACTTTATATTATTATTTTCAATTACAAATACTTGCATTTGTGTGTGTGTGTGTTGGGGGAGTGCGGTCTCTTTAAGCAGAGACCTGAATGCTTTTTCAGCCAGCAGCAGCTGCTGTCGGCAGCACTCACTCCTGAGCCAGCAGCAGATAGGCTCCCCCCTGTTCCCTGACCCCAGCTCAGCAGCCATCGGGTACATGGGCAAGGGGAGGGGAATACCCTGACATCAGCCTCCCTGCCCTGTGCAACAAACAGGAGGCAGTCTCCCAGTCCAAAGCAGCTTGGCTGAGGCAGCTCCATGGTGGGGGGAGGCTGGGGCAGCAGCGGAGCAGAGCGGCTGGAGGAGGAGCATCTGGAGGCATGCAGAGGCGCCCCCCTAAGCACGGTGCCCTGGTCGGTGGCCCCTCTTGCCCATTCCTAAGGCAGGCCCTGTCCAACAGGGAGGGGATGGGGCAGCCGACAGGGGACCGGGCTCCACTCTTCTGCCTGGAAGGTGTTTGACTGGCTCTCCCAAATCACCTGCTGTCTCTTGTTCCTGGCCACCTCCTGATTGCTGCCGCACCTGGTGCCTCCCTCCCTCCCTGCTCGGCTGCCACCAAGTCCTGTCTTCAGAGGTATGCGATTAACTCGTTAAAAAAATAACGTGTTAATTTGTTTTGAGTTAATTGCATGCGTTAACTGCAATTAATTGACAGCCCTATTCTAGACTAATGCACCGTGCTCACAGTAGGACTTCTAATTTTAGGGCTAAGCTGATATGTATCATAGCAACATAGGGGTCATTGAACAAACGAACCAACCAACTTTCTTCATTTCTGATCAACCCTAAACTAAAATGCTTTGGTTTTTCTCTTGAAACAAACAAAAGCAGGCATTGGGTTAAACAAAACATTTCATTTTGATTTTGGGCATTTTAAACCACTTTTTGTTGTGTAAAAAAAGGAAATTTGGAAATGCTATTCCCAAAACCACAAAAGGAGACTGTGCCCCAATACGCCATAGCCCTGTGGTTAGAGCACTCACCTGGGATGTGGGAGACCCAGATTCAAGTCTCCACTTTGCCTAACTTGGAATAGAGTTTTGAACTTGAGTCTCCCACATAGTAGGTAAATGTCCAAACCAATATGGGGTATTCTGGGATGGGTCTCTCTCAGTCTTTCCTGTTGAAGCTGTTTCATTATGTATAAAGACTCAAAACCTTAAGTATGATAGGTTCTGCTACCCCAGACTTGGCAGCCAAGGGATCAGATAGCCAGATTTATGAAACGTGACAAAGAATTCAATTACTACCACTGATTCACATTTTAAAAACTTTTATTCTCACCTTTTTGCCTCCTGGAGAAGATGTATCAGGGGGTGGTGTGCTGGTAATGTTCAATGGACTGGAACCACAGCTGGAAGGTGATGACCCTCTTATCCTTTCAAACCAATGTCATTAAAATTAGAAAGAGGCAATGCAAAATGATGCAATTAATGTACTATTCATCTTGAGAACAATGAATCATGTTGGTGGATACTGAATGTTTACTGCCAGCAACAGACTAACGGGCAAGTGAATCTCCAAATGCCAAGACCTTTGATATCTCAAAACTACCCACAAAAATGCAGTTTGGGGTGATGCATTTACTGTGTTAGCATCAGGATTATGCTTTGTGATAACTTTTTTTCTGTTGGTATGAGGTCTGTAGTGCTAGTCTGTCCATTAATTTAACACTGCTGCCACTATTACCCTCAACGACATAGATAGCTGAATCAATTACCTTAATTTGGCATATTCCAATTTGCTCAGATTATAAACTTCAGCTCTCCCCTATACCATTTTCTTGCCTAGCCTCTGTAGGAAACATTTTTAAGCAATACACAAAGTCAGATCCTCACCTGATGTAAATTTGCATACAGTATTTATATAAGCTGAAGAAAGGTCTGGCCTACAATGTCCAAACAATAAAATTGCTCTAAGGGAGACTCAAAAGAGAGCCACACTTATGTACAATTTCTATATGCTTTGAGATGTTAATAGTACGAACTTCTTCCTTATATTTTCCTTCCTATTTTTTTTTCAATAAGCTATCATGACATAGCTATGCTGGGCATTTGCTTTTATCCCTATGGTGTAGTGCGCATGCAGTAAAAGAGACATTTCAACGCCACACTATTTTTACTTAGCTCAGGATTTCCCCAACCTGGTATACTAGCATTGAATGTTTTCCACATTAGCGGAAATGCTAGGGAGTTGTAGACTTGCTGGCTGTACAATTAGAGAAAATAGAGTGGGGTAGTTCCCATGTGGTAATTTGTAAAAAGGATCCTCTTAGCATCAAAAATGCCAAACTTTTTTTTTTTAAGTGGGAAACTCATTTGCCATGGCAGAGTTTCAGTGGGAAGGTTGTGAACAGAAGGCAGTACAGGAAAATAGAAACAGCTGGTGAAAGAGCACTGGAACTAAACCAGGGCTCTCTCCAATTGAAAGGAAAACAAGAGTGGTGGAGTGTATACAATCCAAAGTACTTTGTTTCTGTTAGTAAGATGAATAATAGTACAAAATGCTATTTAAAATGAGCTTCAGTAGACTTTTTTACAGCTATTAAAACTCTTTGCTCAGCCTCGGATTTGGCTATTTTAATTTTAAAAGGGGGGGGGGCCCCACAAAAGCAACTATGTAAAAATGTTATTTTCCTATACAACAAATCTGCTCATTTTGTGTGTCACTGAAGGGATAAAAATATGTCACTAGTTTTTACTCCTCTTGTGCCTTCAGCATCAACACAGGCTATGGAAGAAGGATCTAGAATTTTTTCTGGCTTGTGCATCATCAGGATTATTAACTAAACTAAAGCTGCAGAATCATTATTGGATGTGTGAGATTTTCCTGTTTTTTTCCCACTGGAGGATTCAGGTAGCAAGGAACCTCCTGTGCCAGAGAGCTCATTGTAGCAGGTCCTATGACAACCACCATCCCAACTGCTAGTGAAGTGGAATTTAGCTGGGTGCAGGGAACATGATAGGGGCCTCCTTTATGGCAGCTGGGGACCAGCCATATAAAACAGCCCCTTATTTAAGACTGCTGACAGGCATGTAGTGTAAATTAGACCAGCCTTCATGTTTGGGGCTTGACTGGTGGAAAGATGGCCTCCTGAATTGGGGGCGTCTGCAAAGCCTGCTTTAATCTCTTCTGCACCCCACTCATCCCCATTCTGAGTCAGCAAACTTTACTTTCAGACCCCAAGATGAGTTTACAGGTCTTAAAACACATTCAACTGAGCAAATTTGGGCTGGAGTCAGATACACACAAACATGGCATCCTCCTATGCCAATTTTACGGCGTCCCTTCACATAACATAACACTTCAAACTGGTCTTAGTCTAATTTTCACACTTCAGAAATGAATGTCAGAGAGCAAAATAATAGATTATTCCTGAAGTGCAAGACACTAAACTATTGTCTCCTATGGAGGACTAATTAGTGGTCTAACTCCATACCATTTCACTTTTAAATCGATTGCCACAAGACATCTGGTAGTAAATTGCATCCAGCCCACTGTGATTTGTGACCTCCAGGCCACTAACAATTCACTAACAAGCCATTTTATCCCAGTGAAATATGGCATAGCTTCCTGTGGCCACCTACTGGAAAAATTTGGGACTGACATTCAAGCATAGTGAGAATTTTCAATGAACTAAGACACATAGCAGGAATTTATTCTCCATTGTTCCAAAAATGTTTATCCATTTTGCTACCTAGTTGTATTGCCTGTATGAACAGAACTGACAAGGGCAGATACTATTATCTTAGAGCAAGAGGAGAAGGGTTGTGAGTTCAATCCTTGAGGGGGCCATTTAGGGATCTGGGGCAAAAATTGGGGATTGGTCCTGCTTTAATAGGGGGTTGGACTAGATGACCTTGAGGTCCCTTCCAATCCTTATATTCTATGATTCTCTCTCTGTGTATATTAGGATGGTCCAGTTGTTAGGATACTAGCCTCCTAGGAGATCTGGGTTCAACTTCCTCTGCCATAGACTGCTTGTGTGACCTTAGTCAAATCACTTAGAGCTAGATTCACAAGGGGTTTTGATGTTTAATTGAATCTTAGGTACTTAATTTCAACATTTAGACACCACTAATGTTCACAAAATTGAACTCCCTTTGGGGGTGGGGCTTAGGCCATACCCCACTCCTCAGCATTTCCTACTGGCTAGCTTAAGTGGCTCCCCACTGAGCACGCTGGCTTCTATGAATCCCACTTTTAGGCACCTAGCTCTCTCCGTGCATTGTATTACTCCTGGGGGAATTCTGCACCAAAAAAATTAAAAGTTCTGCACACAATAGTTTAAAATTCTGCATATTTTATTTGACAAAATAACACAGCATAATCACGCCAGTTTCAATTATTTTGGTAATTTATTTCAAACTACGTTTCAGCAAGTATGTCTGTAACAACACAGACAACAAATGTTTTCCCCCAGGAGTAGAGAGTTAAAGAAACTCCTATGACAACCCAGTTCCTGTTTCTTTGTTATGCTTTTGTTGGGTGTCTCAGTCTGGATGTGTCACACGTGCCAGCTGGGCACATCTTGGGGGAAAACTCTGCCCCTCTGATCTCAGACACCCACATCCCCTTCTCCCCAGGGCCCAGCCATGGGGCACCCCCTGGCCCAGACCCACACCGCTTAGTCCCCCAGAGCCCAGCTGCAGGGTGCCCCCCAGCCCAGACAACCCTCCAGCTCTCCCTCCCCCAAGCAGTGTCCTGTATTTGAGTCCTCAATGTAACTTACATCAATTGATAAATCACCTCTGCATTTGGTCCTAGTACTCCTTGTTCTGCTGCAGGTTATCTATTAATCTTTACTTCTTGGTACCTATTCAACGTTCTTTGGCATGTAGTGTAAATTAGACCAGCCTTCTACAGTGATACAGGGTGATACAGTTTATGCTTGTGAAACTTAACTTTTTTCCCAGACTATTTTCTTCATTGACCTCTCTCCAGAGCTAACCTCTTTCACTGTTAGCTGCTCTCTTTCTGACTCTTCCAAAGTTATTAAAGTGATTACAGTGACTAGTAATCAGATTATTACGGTAATCATGCACACAGATTACTCTAAAAGACTAACTGTAAGAAGAAAAACTGAAAAATTAGAACAAATTATATTTCTCTGTGATGCTGTCATTTCTGTCTTGACCATGTCCGACTACCCTTAGTACAGATAAAGTTTCACTGTAATCGAAAATACCCGCTACACTGCAACTGCATAGTAATACTTGGTGCTTATAGAAATAAAAAAGGTAGGGTATTTCTTACTTTCCCCTTTAAAAAAAATTATCTATTAAGTTAGAGCAGAATACCAGTTTCTCTCACCTATGAATCTCCATGATTTCCTCAGCAATCATTCTACCTATTTTACCTGCCCCAGCTCTTGTTCCACCTGGAATACCAGGAACTGTAGGATGGGTCCTTTTTGGGCCACCTAAAATATGGAACAATATTTGTAAGATCACACACATAATAAGCGAAAGAGATTATGCAAGGTTTTTAAAGGGGAGGGGAGGGCAGGGGAGAAGAGACCCCGGGACTGCTCTAACTTATGCTGGGGGTTGGGCCCAGAATATGATGGGTGTAAATTCTGGGCCAATCTAAGCTGTGCCTTTTAGGAGATGCAGCTCAGACTCAGGACTTATATATCTAATGACATCTATAATAACCAGTAGCTTGCTGAATGAGTGAGCTGGCCCAGGCCAGCTGGGAGCACCTTGCCCAAACTGTTAGTGCTGAATACTTAATTTATTAATATTAGCTGCTCATCTACTGTCTATACACATTTCAATCAGGGGGAGGGAGGATTCGTTTCCTGTCACACACTAAAAGCACAGTACTATCATGTCAGCATGTTAGCAGAACACCACCGCCAACAGGGAATAATTCACAGTTACCTGCAAAACATTTAAATCAAGTCCATTTGGGTAACTGCAAATGTCTGACAAGGGAGTAAAAAGCAACAGGGTCTCTGAACATTATGTTCTTGCAGTTTAAAATTGCTGTCTGTTATTCTAATACAGACTTGGCACTTGAATAGTGCTTATGGGGAAGCCAAGAGGAGTTTGCTCTATTCTAGGGCACAATGAAGGAAGTAGAGAAAGGACTGACATAAAATGAACTAAAATAATAAGGAAGTGATAGAGTATTGATTGTGTGCAATTGTTAATGGTCTTCTGTGTTAACAATTCATACTCAGACCTAGCAACCTTCCCAGGAACCCTTTGGGTTGAAGTCAATGGGAATTGGGGAAGCTCAGCACCTTGAAGAATCAGGTCCTTAAAGTCAGCCTTACAAATCACATCTCAACTCAGTAGAGGGCTGGGGGGAACAGAGTGGGCCAAGAACTGTGGGGCCCCTATCCTCCCTGTGCAGATGGGGGGCTTTGCCCTGCCTGAAACTAGGGGACCCCTCTTAGTCCTGCCTCTCCCTAAGTTCCAGAGCCACCGCCAGTGGGAGTGGTATCCCCAGCCCCACTTCTACCTTTGCGCTCTTGGCATGGTGAGATGCCTCAGGCCCTGCACGATGCCAGTGGTGGCGATGGTGGGATCTGGGCCAAGCCAGGGTGGGCAAATCATTCTCCACACTACTCATGGCAGGCATAAATTCTGAGTGGCACTGAGACCCCAATGCCACTCACCCAAATTTGGCCTGGCTGTCCTTCCATCATGATGAAGGGGTGGGTGGGCTAAACTTGAGTGGTGCTGCAAGCTTGTGCACCAGGTCACAGCACGAACCAATGCTGGCCCAAACTTTAACCCATAAACCGATGCTGAAGCTGCCTCAACTTTTCTGTCTGAAATACTTTGCTGCATATTTTCTAAAAGGATTTTTTTCTAATTTAAGAAGAAAAATAAATTTGTATTACAGATTTTAAAATCATAAAGCTTCTTATATACCACCTTTCATCTTCAAAGATCCCAAACAGCACATACTAAATGCAGCCAAAACTACTGCAATGCAGCCACATCCTTGCCTACATCTCAGCTCCTGTTCCTTTCCACACCACCTCACAGGTCATACATTCTTGGCCAATCCTCTCTCCTTAATGGCCAGTACCCCTATTCTTGACTCATTTTTCAGTACTTTGGGGCAGATTTCTGCTGCTCTATTTAGAGCAAAACAGTTGTAAAGCCAACTTAACTGGCTACTACAGGATTTCCCCAGAACAGAGGGATCCTCATGTGGCATACAGTCACAGTAGCAGCTCTTATGTCACCAAGCCTCCCAACCCTGCTGCTATGTAGGAGTGGCCAATAAAATGACCAGGCTATTTCCTGTGTATGGCTGATCCCTAGCTGCCCTAACGGCCCCTTGGGGCTGTTGGCAGGCAACAAGCATAAATTAGAGCAGCTTTCATGTCTGGCACTGGACAAGTGGTAGGACAGATCTAGAACTGGGGGCATCTTAAAGATAGGATTAGGGATTCTAAGGATTAAGCTGAGTTGCACTAAGTGCTCCTTGGCCATAGCCCCAGCTCAGGATCAGACCAGGTGTCTTTTCCAAAAATAAAAAAATGACCTATACCTGGAGCTGTCCTAATGTGGCAAACACCTTTCCTCTCCTCCAAATCTCTCCTTACAGCCTTCCACCACTGATCCCTAGGAGAGCGTGCTCTCACTCTGCCTCCTCAGACACTATTTGTATTGTTTCTATCTAAATTAGATTTAACCTCACTGGGGAAGAAACCTTGTTGGAACTTATATATGTTAAGTACAGTGTACACCTATCATCTTCCAAGCAATTAATAATCTCGGGAGGACGACAGAAACAAACTGGAGCACACGGGGTTAATTCAGTAGCCAAGGAAAGTCTGTTAATGATTGCTGTCTAGCAAGTGCAAGTTTCTCACTATACTGTAGTTACCTTCTCCAGCCTGAAGTACGCTGTCCATGCTGTGCGGAGAAGCTGCAAGCTGCGGAAAGGCTGCATCTCCACCATCAAGTACACTGGTGCTGAGGAAATCAACAGGAAGAAACAGTGATAAAATAGCTGCAAGTGCTAAATATACATAGCATGTTATAAGGGGGAAGTTTCAATGTTTGTGACTTATAAGACAAATTTAGTCATCATCATGGAGGTAACCATAGTGAATGACACATACTGTAGGGCTATATAAATCAATAAGAGTTCTGCAGGACACATTAAGTAGCAACAGCTGCATAATATACTAAAAACAATCCTAAAAGAAAAACAAAAACCCTTATGGCTCATCAAGCATGCATTATTGAGCCCAAACTGCTTTTCTCCTAACAGGAGGGAGCAGCTGATCCAGGATCTGATCAGTCAATTTGTTGTGCAGAGGCACACTGCTGCCTTGTCACAGAACTCCAAAGCAAAAATGGAAGCTCCACGTGGGTAAAGCAATGCACCCGTGTACAATCAATGAGAAGATTAGGGACCCAGTGTCTTACTCTGTACATTTACTTATTTAGATTTATACAAACTGTAATAAAAGATCAGCTAATTTCCAGATTTCATTCCTTTTGTTGTAAGGCTAGCCATTATTAAGCTCAGATGCTTATACGATGTGTACACATTTTGAGAGTAATTTTTAGAGTAATTCCCATGATCTTACATTTGAAGCAGGGTTACATTCCTGATGTTCAAGGCTAGCTGCTAGAAGAAAATACTTACGAAACAACTGTATTTGTTGAGACGATGTATTCTACTTCTTTGGTCCAAGGGTTCATGAAACTGAACCAGCGACTCCTCAAGGTAATAAAAGAGCCATCTTTTATTTTAAACTTGTAACAATTAGTTGTAATTTTTTCTCTTGTCTGTAAAACTAAAAATAGGGAGACATAAGGAACAACCCTAGTTTTGCAGACCTGCATACTGACTACATGAAGAGTAGAGATTTGATGCAGATCCTCCCAGTTTCACTGGCTTTTTTTTTTTTTTTTTGGTGCAGAGAACAGCACTATTTCTAAATCTCTGTACCTGAAGTGCAAATTAGAAGACTCCATACTAATTTAACTTTAGCTTAGGATATTTTCACTGTTCAGTGCATATCATAGACTCATAGAATCATAGAATATCAGGGTTGGAAGGGACCTCAGGAGGTCATCTAGTCCAACCCCCTGCTCAAAAGCAGGACCCATCCCCAATTAAATCATCCCAGCCAGGGCTTTGTCAAGCCTGACCTTAAAAACTTCTAAGGAAGGAGATTCCACCACCTCCCTAGGCAACGCATTCCAGTGTTTCACCACCCTCCTAGTGAAAAAGTTTTTCCTAATATCCAACCTAAACCTCCCCCACTGCAACTTGAGACCATTTCTCCTTGTCCTGTCCTCTTCCACCACTGAGAATAGTCTAGAACCATCCTCTCTGGAACCACCTCTCAGGTAGTTGAAAGCAGCTATCAAATCCCCCCTCATTCTTCTCTTCCGCAGACTAAACAATCCCAGTTCCCTCAGTCTCTCCTCATAAGTCATGTGTTCTAGACCCCTAATCATTTTTGTTGCCCTTTGCTGGACTCTTTCCAATTTATCCACATCCTTCTTGTAGTGTGGGGCCCAAAACTGGACACAGTACTCCAGATGAGGCCTCACCAATGTCGAATAGAGGGGGACGATCACGTCCCTCGATCTGCTCGCTATGCCCCTACTTATACATCCCAAAATGCCATTGGCCTTCTTGGCAACAAGGGCACACTGCTGACTCATATCCAGCTTCTCGTCCACTGTCACCCCTAGGTCCTTTTCCGCAGAACTGCTGCCTAGCCATTCGGACCCTAGTCTGTAGCTGTGCATTGGGTTCTTCCGTCCTAAGTGCAGGACCCTGCACTTATCCCTATTGAACCTCATTAGATTTCTTTTGGCCCAATCCTCCAATTTGTCTAGGTCCCTCTGTATCCTATCCCTGCCCTCCAGCGTATCTACCACTCCTCCCAGTTTAGTTGAGTCCTTTTATCAAAGTCCTTTTCATGCAAGAAAAATCTAACGTTTGCCAACCTGAAAAAATCTTATCCCTTTAAGTTGTTATTTTTGTGTGAAATATTCAGGAAGACTAATATACATTTTGACTGTTTTTACTTGTTGAAACCAAAACCCTCATTCTTAACACTGAATTATAAATCATCTTACCTTGTCTGTGACATTCTGCAAGATGTCCTATATCATCTTGATGAAAATATTCATAACATGAAGTGCCTAGAAGTTCCTGTGGTAAATATGCCAGAATGGCTGTTGCCCTAAAAAACAAAACAAACAAACAACAATTTTTTACAATAAAGTGGTACATCTGTATTATTAAAATGTATCCATGCCCCCTACTCAGTTATAAAACAATACTGTAGAATATATTATTTTCACTTAGCGGAGAAACTGAAAGTTTCCATAATTTGTATCTTAATTTTGAAAAAAGCTAAAAAAACAAAAAACACACAATACCAATAACTTTCTCTGAAATAGTTTATTCTGATGGGTCATCTACAGATACAGAAGCACTTCCAATTACCAAGCCTTGAATGTAAATTGTAATTTGGAGTGTTTAGAATTGGCTAAAGCCTTCTGGTAGCAGGCCACCACGTACTGAGGAAGCCTGAAGACACAAAATGCAATTTAAACAAAAGATACAAGCTGGATGAGGTAATATTTTCTATTGGACCAACTTCTGTAGGTGAGGGAGACAAGCTTTCAAGCTACATAGCGCAATTCTTCAAGTCCAGACTTGAAGAACTGCTCTCTGTAGCTTGGAAGCTTGCTTCTTTCACCAACCGAAGTTGGTCCAATAAAAAACATTACCTCACCCACTTGGTTCCTCTCATTTCCTGGGACCAGCTCAGCTACAACAACACTGAAAACACTATTTTAACAAGAGCATTCACGTTTTTAAAGTTCTAAAATCTGTTTTCTTCCTTTGTGTACCCAGGATTCTGCTGTGTCATAAAGCCTGCTTCTGTCAATGTCAGTACTTTAGATAGGAGTGTTTCCCATTCATTGCTGAAAGGCCTAAAAGAGCAGCAAAAGGTGACTGAGAATGAAAAAACAGAAAAAGTAAAGAGGATACACTTTATGATGTATGATGGATACATTTTACTGATTTAGCACTGAGAAACCTGACTTTACATCTTTACTACCACTATAATCAGACAGGAATATAAAAATGTGTGACATTATACAAGGCTTTCGTTTCACTAGAACTTTTTCTTCAAAGCCAACCCATTTTTACTTCCTCAACAGAAAACTTCAGAATTAACATAGCAGGATCCTGGAGTGCTTGGAGAAAGGTTTAGGGATATCTGGGTTTGACATTCCAATAACAAGGATCTATATATATATATATATATCCTAAGCCTGGAGTCAATGCATGTACGAAAACCCTAATGCATGATGGAAGTATTTTTTTAAACTGCTCGATGCCTGTGCAGAGTAATAGACACCTGAATGTCACAAGATTACAGATTAAGGACTGAATCTTGAAATGTGCTGAGCACTCTTGTTCTGATTCAACTTGTGTTTAACTTCTTTCTGGATCAGGACCAGAGTGTGCAGCAACTTCCAACATGGTCCTCTAATGTATTGCTTTAGAAACTGTACATTATAAACTCCTTACAACACAGGGAACTGAATTCATAATACCATACTCCTTGCATTCCTATTACCAGGCATTAGCATGCAAATTACTTGTGTGCGAAAAGTTTTACGTTGTTAGGTCACTGGATGCCATCTGCTTTAGCAGCTGTACTGTAGATAACTCTGGAAAACCAGAAACTGTGCCAACTATTTTCAGTTGAGCTACAGGCATAATAATAAAGCAACTCACTTATGAGAAAGAAAAAAAAAAATCAAGAAAAAGAACAGAAAGTGCATCACTGATCTTTATAATCGATCTGCATGAGTTTCTATATGCTAGTGAATCCCTTCCATCTTTGAATACTGGAAAAGCAAGTTCCTCTCCAGGGGACTGACCATTAAATAAGGAATAGGATAGAAAACTAAGATGATATGGGATATGCAGGGGTCTCTCTCTTCCTCAGATTCTGAACTGGTTGCCACAGGGAAGGAAGAGGAAAATAAGACAGGGAGAGGAATCAAAAACAGTGCAACTAAATGGGACCAAATTAAACATTTACATGGTGTAGTTAAATTGTGTGGTATTTAGGAGATACTGAAGGTACTTACATACCATAAGATATATTTGACTCTAAGGGCAAAATTTTGAAGTGCTCCCAAAACAATGTTGTAGTCCAAAAGATAAGCAAATAAAAGCAAACACTCCAAGATAGCAATTCTCAATCTTTTCCATGCATGACTTCATGTTAGAAAAAAAATTCAAGGACCCCCCCCATACACACACACACACCTAGCTCTAAAGAAAAAGAAATTTATCTGTCACCCCTAGATTGACAACCCATGCTCTAGGACAGTGGTTTTCAAACTTTTTGAGCTGAGCTCCTGCTTTGAGTTACAATTTTTGGTTGTGCCCCCCCAATCCAGAAAAAATAGAAACATCTGCTTCTCCCCACTTGGGTTTTCAGGGTGGGAAAGGCATGTGCGATGGTCTTTGGGGGTGGAGCCAGTGCTGGGAATGGAGTGGAAATCAGCGCCACGGCAGTGGATGTTGACACTGACCCACAGGCTTGGTGGACCACTGAGGTGAGTCAGGGTATGGAAGTGGCACTCCCTCCCCCCGCCTCGCATGGCTGGCATCTCAGCTTCCCCCGCCCCTGAACATTTCTCCGCGCTGCCCTAGGGCGGTGTGCCCCACAGTTTGAGAACCTCTGCTCTAGGACAAGTTGTGAACAAAAGCTAAACACAGGAACATGACTGAAACCAAAACCTAAGAAGGAATAAAACCAAACCATACTGCTGATATGAGCAGTTTATGTGACTTTTGCTGAAGTACTGCAGATAGTTTCTGTTTCAAAGATTCTGATACTTTCAGATTATTAATCTTTTAAACTCTGTACCAGAGTCATTTATGAGAGATTCCCCTTCAGGGCACGAATTCAGCTGAGCACTTTAAAGCACATCCTTAACTTTAAGCATATGCTTTAACTTATAAACTATTATAGTATATCTCCTTAGATCATTCCATATAGAAATTTCTATCAAGCATCTGCAAAACAGAATTCATCTTTGAATTCATTCATCTTTGTGGCAACCAAGGTTCCCAGCCCTTGTATTATTTTGTTTTTAAAATGTACAACATAACTTTGCTTTGGTTAGACTTGTTAATGAGTCAGTAGTGTATAATATGAGGGCATAAATAATTTATAGTGCAATCCCATTGGAACTATCTTTACATGAAAGTAGTTTCTGATTAATACTATTTATAAAGTACAACAGAAGAGTTATGATTTACTATTTTATTTTCATAGTGGTATAATGGCTTTCTTGAACAAATAGTTTATCAAGCTATGTAGCAAGTAGCATGATACAACTACTCCAGTTACCAAGAAAATGATAAACTTATTCTTACCTCTGGTCTACAAAAACAAACTTCCCATCTATTGCATGTCGAGAGACATATTCTGTAGGTTTAACCCGGATCTCGCCATTGACTGGTTGAGGAACTACATGGGGATGTAACCGTCCAATTGCAACAAGACAGCTTAAGTTACAGCCTTCATTATCTGGCTCATTATCTTCATCTAGTCCCATTTTTGTTGGTGGCCAGCTTTTTAAATATCCTGTGCTATGAATTGTGCAAAAGCTTTTGCGGTCTGCTACAAAAGAAAAGGTTATCATCAGCATTGCCTTAAGATAAATTTGGCCCTCAATCAGGTCTGCTAACTTGCAGTGCTTCTCCTTCTACCTTGGAAAACTAAGTTGCTGTATACTCATATACTAATGCAGAAGAGGTATATATCAATCCACACAAGTCAAATGTGAAATTTACTATGTGATACCACTGCTAATATTGAAACCCAGTCCGATAATTCAACAATTGTAGTCAATATCAATTTTGCATTTTCCCGCAAATGACATAAAGTTGTAATTTTAAGAAGTCACACTATGAGCTTTTTCATTAATAATTCTTAATATAGGACAAAACAAATCAGTGTGCAGAGGCATAAACTATGGAGGAAAATATAATCTGAAAGTAAAATATTTCAGTTTTAAGTTTCGGTGGTTACAAAATAACAGAAAAGTGGTTTCAATTAAAAGGGAATACCATGGCAATGTCCTTCAGAATATATACTGGTCTTCTGTACACGTTTTAATTGAAAACAGTGTCTGTTACCTTTTGTTAGAGAACAATTTAATATTGTCACAATCTTTACAAATATATTAATTAGGGCTGGCAAGAGATTAAAAAAATTAATCGCGATTAATTGCACTGTTAAACAATAATAGAATACCATTTAAATATTTTTGGATGTTTTGTACATTTTAAAATATATTGATTTCAATTACAACACAGAATATAAAGTGTACAGTGCTCACTTTATATTTATTTTTGATTACAAGTATTTGCACTGTAAAAAAACAAAAGAAAATAGTATTTTTCAATTCACCTAATACAAGTAATACAGTGCAATCTCTTTATCATGAAAGTTGAACTTATAAATGTAGAATTATGTACAAAAAAACCCTGCATTCAAAAATAAAACAATGTAAAATTTTAGAGCCTGCAAATCCACTGAGTCCTACTTCTTGTTCAGCCAATCGCTCAGACAAACAAGTTTGGTTTACATGCTGCCCGCTTCTTGTTTACAATGTCACCTGAAAGTGAGAACAGGTGTTCTCATGGCACTGTTGTAGCTGGCGTTGCAAGATATTTACGTGCCAGATGCATTAAAGATTCGTATGTCTCTTCATGCTTCAACCACCATTCCAGGGGACATGCGTCCATGTTGATGACAGGTTCTGCTCGAGAAGAATCCCAAAGCAATGCGGACTGATGCATGTTCATTTTCATTATCTGAGTCAGTTGCCACCAGTAGAAAGTTGATTTTCTTTTTGGTGATTCAGGTTCTGTAGTTTCCACATCGGAGTGTCGCTCTTTGAAGACTTCTGAAAGCGTGCTTCACACCTCGTCCCTTTCAGATTTTGGAAGGCACTTCAGATTCTTAAACCTTGGATTGAGTGCTGTAGCTATCTCTAGAAATCTCACATTGGTATCTTCTTTGCGTTTTGTCAAATCTGCCACGGAAGTGTTCTTAAAATGAACAACATGTGCTGGGTCATCATCCGAGACTGCTATAACATTAAACATTATATGGCATAATGCGGGTAAAACAGAGCAGGAGACTCCCCCAGGGAGTTCAGTCACAAGTTTAATTAACGCACTATTTTTTTAACGAGCGTCATCAGCATGGAAGCACGTCCTCTGGAATGGTGGCTAAAGCATGAAGGGGCTTATGAATGTTTAGAATATCTGGCATGTAAATACTTGCAATGCCAGCTACAAAAGTGCCATGCAAATGCCTTTCTCAGTTTCTGGTGACATTGTAAATAAGAAGCGGGCAGCAATATTGCCTGCAAATGTAAACAAACCTGTTTGTCTGAGTGATTGGCTGAACAAGGAGTAGGACTGAGTGGACTTGTAGGCTCTGAAGTTTTACATTGTTTTGTTTTAGAGTGCAGTTATGTAACAAAAAAATCTACATTTGTAAGTTGCACTTTCATGACAAAGAGATTGCGCTACAGTACTGGTATGAGGTGAATTGAAAAATATGATTTCTTTTGTTTATGATTTTTACAGTGCAAATATTTGCAATAAAAAATAATATACACTTTGATTTCAATTGCAACACAGAATACAATATATATGAAAATGTAGAAAAACATCCAAAATATTTAATAAATTTCAATTGGTATTCTAGTGTTTAACAATGCGACTCTTTTTGTGAGTTATTCACGTGAGTTAATTGCGATTAATCGACAGCCCTAATATTAATTGAAGACAGGTATCCTGAATATTTTCATATGATGCATTTGGCTGGAGATCACATTTACACTGAGGCAAAACGATCAGTACATGAGACAGAGTAACAGGATATATGGGTTCTACTTCTGATTTTGCCATTGGCCCATTCCGTGACCTTATCCAAGGACAGTACATGTGAAGTCCTGAGCATGCCTACTGGTTTGGGCCCTACTGGGCTGCTGGCCAGGGCAACACTTAGTTTGACAATGCCCCCAAGGCTTAGGCATAAGTGAGAGCTCTAACCAGCCTGTTAGCAGTTGGGCAGCATCAAGACTTAGGCAGCTTTGAACATGTCTATCAAAGGAAACTTGAGAAAAGGAGTACTTGTGGCACCTTAGAGACTAACCAATTTATTTGAGCATAAGCTTTCGTGAGCTACAGCTCACTTCATCGGATGCATCTGAAAGGAAACTTGGGTGCCATGGGGGCTTTAGATGCCTATAGTGTTAGGCAGCTGCTGAACAGTGGTTTTGAGAATGTGAGTGGTGCCTAAATGTTGGATTTAGGCACTCAAAGAGGCAATTAGGCACGTAAGTACCTTTGTGAATCAAGTCCCTTAAGAACCATTAACTTTGAAGCTTAGGGTTTACTGTCAAATTCACACCCCCAAATAATTGCACACACTACCATCAATTTCAACTAAAGCCATGCATGCTTCAGAGAGCAGAATTTTGCCTTATCCACTAACAAAATTTCTTTTTCAGCAAATGTAACTTTAGGACATCTACTTTTAGGGAGCTATAAAGAAAACAAGAGAGTAACAAACAAACCTCTACACAGTTGCAACAGTGATGAATACACTAAACACAGAGCAGCTCTATTCAGAAATTCTTTATAATTAACTGAAGGTTGTTTAGTTTTTAATCTGATAGTTACTCTTGTTTCACATAGCAACAATACAGAGAAAAGAACTGTAAACCACCATTATATTTGATAAAATGTACAAACATTACCTTTCTTCTTTGAGCAGGTGGAAGGAAAATCCTTGTCTTCTACTTTCACTGAAGGTCTGTTGCATTTCATCCTACAAAAGAAGGAACGTCTTGCTCCAGAACAAAGTCGTGATGGCCCAGGTGTTATATCTGTTTTAACTGGAAGTCCAGCTGCATGAAACAAAAAATTAAACTCAGTAAACATTGTCTTTACTAAAATTTAAACTATATTCTCAACTCTACAGTTATTTTAGCAATGTCTTTGAGGGGAGAGTAATGTGCTCAGCAAACTCATATCAACTTCATGGCATCTCAAGCTGATTTTTAATGATCAGATTATATCCAATGCTAAATTGCTGGGATTCACATAGAGACGACCCAAATATTTCTTGCTCCTTCAGAAGTTAAAGAAGGACTATTTTTTTGCTGTATGTTTCTTATTTGTTGAAAGATGTGTTAACCAGCCAAGCAGCCAGCAAAAAAATAACTAACTAACCAGCCAACCAATCAACCAACCAGGTTGGATAATTTATTTGTGTGCCCACTGTCAACAGTGGTCACAAGGGGTACAGGAACACCAACCTAGGATTAACGGATCCCAAATATGAAAGTCAGAGAATTGTTGTAAAAACCTACATTGTCTTTGCAATAGATTTTGTGATTCCTTTGAACTCTATAACTTTGCAGTTGGCCCAGATGCTACAAACTATTAATAGGGCCTTTGGTAAACTTACAAGATATGTATGGCATTTGGGATTCCTTATTTGAGAGTTTGGTGCAGACAGGCATAATTCTATTAATGTCACTGGAGTTGCGTCTGCTTACACTAAGGCTGAACCTGGCCCTTAGAGTTCCCTGCACCCAGACTTCAAAATAATACATGGGCCAAGATCCTGATAATGTGAGATGTTAACAGCATACATGGTGTTCAAATGTTTTCCAGTGCATACTGTTAATCCCAGGTTACTGTTAGTGGCTACCCCAGGAATTTGGACACTTGACACTTCACAAAAAAAGCAAATTATGACCTCATACTTTGTCATAACTTGCATGTTTTTATATATAAATGGGGTATTAAAGTGGTATATGGTGTACATAGTATCAGATAATATTCTATAATTTTGAAATCATTTAAAAGTAAGTGGTCCGATAGATAGATAGATATCTCTCAGAAGTAAAATACTCAACATATAGGATACTTTCAATGGATCAGCATGTTCCTGCAAACATTTAAGCATGTGAGTATCTTTCTGCCTCACAAAAATAATTGGCCTTGATTCTGCAACCACAGAAGTTATATATACACATGTGCTTGTGAGGAACAGACTTATTTGGTCAAATTTTCATAAGTGGCTTCTAAATTTACAGCTGCAATTTTGTGTGTGCAAAGCACCACAACGGAACATAAAAAGATAAATTTTTTGCACACAAAGGATCCTATTAATTCCCCATCCTCAGAAACTGTATTAATAAACTTGCATGTGTTGCAAAGAGACTAGAGCACCACTTTAAATAGGAAAATTTGCTTAATAAAACAATTTTCTTTAAAGTTAACCAGATCACAAAATTCTAAAACAAAATGGTCACCTGGTTATTAAACTACTTATCCCAAAAAGCCATAGACCTAGGGTCAAAGTTCACAATACTCTGCCAAGTGCAAGAAGCTACAGCTTCCTGCCATTCTTCCATTACAAGGATTTCCAATCTACAAAAGAGGACAGCCACGGTTAGTAGTAGCTTCCTAACTCACTGACCATATTGCTGTATAAAGCAAACACAAAGTTCACTAGCTACCAACAAATTCAGGTACCTTTAACTGTATAAAAATCATATATTATCTGACTGTACTATCTAAGTTGGATAAATATTATTTATATTGTCAGTTTCTTACTCTTCCCAAGAAACAAGTCACTCCAAAGGTCACAAGTCATTTCAAAAAGATTCAAAGTTTCTGTAACAGCCCTTATTCCCTGTCACAGAGTTGTTTCAGGATTACTCCAGAATACATTCCCCCTCAAGAAAGGGCTTCCCAATCAACAAGGAAGAAACAAGTCATCCACACTGTTTAATTACATCACCCAGCCTCACACACAGGGTGCATCTTTAGTAGGACAAAGGGTGTGTTCTTACTTCCAGTTAACTAACATGAGGTAAAATCCTAGCAAAGACAATATAGTTTGTAGTTTTCACGTGAGCTTGGCAGGTTCAAGTGAACTCTAGTTTCTACCATAGTGTTCAACTCGATCTGCTAACTCACGTGATAACTACAGACTGCTTGGTCTTCTTAGGATTTTACCTCATGTTAGTTAACTGAAGCTTACCAACATGAGGTAAGAACACATAGTTTTTCTTAGCAAAGACAAGGCCTTAATGGCAATGAACTGTTTCCTTGAATATGCATTTCTCCCCTTGTCTGGGCAGTTGCTGGATGCTACATTTTAAACTGGCATTTAGACTCAAACTAGTTGGTTAAAGGCTCCTGTACCTAACAGATAATGTGAGTAGATTAAGAAAAGGAAAATCTAAGGCTGAATATCATCAAGATCACAGTGACTGCAAGATCTGTTTTCATGAATATTAATGCTAAAAGTTTCCAATCACCACATCCCCCCCAAACCCTTTGAGAGGTCTGTCACAAAGATTAATAATGACCTACATCATAGAATTGTTGGGGACAATGGGGCATGGCCACTAGGTAACTCGAAGGGATGGAAGACCACGAGTGTCGATGAAGCCCCCTCCCACTACGCCCAAGTGTCCTTGGCCCGCCCCCCCGGCCTGAAGGCACTCGCAGCAGTTATGCTGAGGATCTGCACCAATATGTTGCAGAGTCAGACTGCCTGAAACTAAACAAGGCCAAACAAGACAGATATGGAAGAACAATGCTGAATAAAGCAGCTTTATGTATGGTTTAACAGCTGGTACAGAGAACAAGGGAACTAGCTGGTAACTGGATTGGCCGGCTATATGGATACTTAGGGCAGCTTGCTATTGGATAAGTATGCTGAAGGAAGGATGTATAAAAGCCTGTGTAACTTCCTGCTCTGGATGCAGGATTTGAGATTCTAATCTCCCTGTACCTTCTTTGAAGCTTCAAATAAACTTTTCTGCTTCTCCACCCCGTTGTGATTATTGGGTGATGCATACCGGGCAGCGAACCCCTGCTGTTGCTCGCCTCTGGCACTGGGTGCCGGCAACAGAATTGTAGGACTGGAAGAGACCTCGAGAGGTCATCTAGTCCAGTCCCCTGCACTCGTGGCAGGACAAAGTACTATCTAGACCATCCCTGACAGGTGTTTGTCTAATCTGCTCTTAGAAATCTCCAACGACGGAGGTTCCACAACCTCTCTAGGCAATTTATTCCAATGCTTAACCATCCTGACAGTTAGGAAGTTTTTCCTAATGTCCAATCTAAATCACCCTTGTTGCAATTTAAGCCCACTGCGTTTTGTCCTATCCTCAGAGGTTAAGGAGAACAATTTTTCCCCTTCCTCCTTGTAACGACCTTTTATGTACTTGAAAACTGTTATCATGTCCCTTCTAAGTCTTCTCTTCTCCAGACAAAACAAACCCAATTTTTTCAATCTTCCCTCATACATCATGTTTTCTAGACCTTTAATCATTTTTGTTGCTCTTCTCTGGATTTTCTCCAATTTGTTCACATCTTTCCTGAAATATGGCGCCAGGAACTGGATACAATACTCCAGTTGAGGCCTAATCAGCATGGAGTAGAGCAGAAGAATTACTTCTTGTGTCTTGCTTACAACACTCCTGCTAATACATTCCAGAATGATGGTTGCTTTTTTTACACTGTTGACTCATGTTTAGCTTGTGATCCACTATGAGACCCCTTTCTGCAGTACTCCTTCCTAGGCAGTCATTTACCATTTTGTTGCAATGCTTGCAGAAGAATGGTCATGTGGTTAAAACAACAGGAAAGGAAGTCTGGAGATCTAGATTCTATTCCTGGCTCTATTAAAAAGACTTCTTGTATGACCCTGTGCAAGTCACTTGACCTCTCTGTAATTCAGTCTCTCCATTTGTAAAACGGGGAAATATTCATTAATCCATTTGTACGAATTAATTCATTAGTATTTGTAAATATTAATACTTTGAGATCCTTAATTGGAAGGCCCTATGGAAGTGAACACTATTAACCAGCATTTAATTGATGGTATTAAAACAAAGGAGATGATACAAATATATATTAAGTTTAAGATACACTAACATTTCAAGGAAAGAAATACTCACTTTTTGCATCTATGAGCCTTTCTCGTGGTGCAGTATCAGAAGAAGAGAGCTGCTCTTTAACTTTTGCAATATCCTTAGGATGAAGGTAGTCAAACAAACTCTGACCAATCAGATCATTCTGTAGATATGGAATATTAAATCAGAAATTAAAAATAAATACATATGTTAAAATTTGGGAAATATTGCATACATTTTAAAGAGTCACTTAGTTTGTCAGTCTACAATGACAGCCTGTTCAGTCTATTGCAGTCAAAGTTTGGGCCTCTTTTTTCCCCTGAAAAGGTTTATTCCCAATTATATATCAAGTATTCATTGTAAAATCACAACTAAAACATAGTCATGTCTCTCAAAGCTTTTAGAATATGTACCCTGAAAGAAAGGCTGGCCAAAAGAGTATTTTTTTGAATTTAGTTTTGAAGTTCATAGAATATTAATGATGGAGAAGAGGGTACAGAAAATTAAGGATATGGTAGTATCATAACAAGGGGTTTGGTAAAAGTCAAGCCTTGTATTAAGTGTACATTAAACCTTTGGTATGATTATGCTAATTATTTTTCAGTGTTGCTTGTCCTGTTAGATGGTAGCATAAGAATAATTTGTACTTTGCTCAGATTCCTCATCTTGTCAAATCTCACCCATATTTAAATCATTCTCCCTTGCACTGTTCCCATGAACATCTACTTATATAATACTGGCATTTTCCCCCACATCCAGCTACTATCGACTCAAATGCATTTTGATTTGTTGGTAAACTGATTTAAATGCAACATTGTCTACACAGAGGGTTCCTGTTGCCTGATGACAAAAGTTGACTCCCAGTACAAACCTTATGTGGCTTTACTTAATTAACAAGAAGGGAAGGGCAATCAAGTTAGATAAAACAGTAACTAAATGGAAACATTTTCCAGAACAAGAGTAAAATTTTCAAAAGCGTCCAACTGACATCAGAGCCTAAGCGCCACTTTCAAAATTCATCTAGGAGCCTAAGTCATTTAGGCACTTCTGATAATGTTATCCCAAGCTTTTTTAGAGGCGAAACAAAAAAACAATCAGATAGTTTTGTAAGTGGTAAAGTAGAGTAGATATTCCTCTGCACTTCCTGGGTGCAGCTGAAACCAGAAGCAGTATTACCAAAGGAAGTTTTTTACCAATCCAGCAGAAACCAGAAATTTTTGTAAATCTTGCAGATTAGCCGGTTTCTGAAATAATTCTACACTCAAACAAAGACATTTCAGATGAATACGCCCAAGTTTAGATGTGTATCCAAACAAAACCTTTCAATCTCTTGAGGTCTGTCCATTATTAGTTCCCAAGGTACAGTTCCCAACAATACCTGACTGTAGTTGAGGATCTTGAAGACAGATTCTGAAACAAACAGTATCTTCCCTCTATCACAGCCCACAACAAACAGAAATCCATCTGCTGCCTAATGAGGAAAGATAATTGTATTATTTTTAAAAAACAATTACATTTTTTTAGCATTTAGTTACCTTTGTTACACAGTAGGATTTCGATATTAACATTAATATCGTTGCATCTATAGAAATAACGGAATTAACAAACTATGAAATTATGATAAAAGCTTAAAAATCTTTTTGCACTTGGAATTAGATTTTTGGCACTACTTTTCTTAATAATGACAAGAATATAAAGACAATTTCAGTAGTAGTAAAAGCTCACATCTTTTCATATAATATTATAGTTGTACACTAAAGCAATTCCTTAAATTAATTTTTTAAAAAAACAGTAACTAATCTTCTTGTGTTTGACCTATATTTATTACATTTTAAATTCATTTGACTTCTTTTGGAAAATAAGTGTGGCCCGGATCTTGCAGACATTTCTCTGCATGTGAGTAGTTCCACTTAACTCAAGAGGACTCATGTACATGAGCATTTGTGTGGATCAGGCCCTAATTTTGTAAATTCATATAAATCACAGAACTGTTTAAATAACTCAGTCCTGCATATATGCTATTTGGTCATTTAAATGAGATTTGTGAAGCACTGCAAGCCTATTAAATGAATTTCTAAGTCTGTGCTTAAGTATTAGAACAAAAAGGCTATAGCTTATGTTTTTATAGTGCTGACAAAGCATATAGATTTTATTTTTGCAATCAGTTGAAATACATCTGTATGTTGTTTCCTCACCAATCTTAGTTATGACTTTTATGCATCAACTGATTATATGCTGAAAATTGTATCAAATGATGGTGGGTTGTTTTTTGTTTTTTTTTTGTAAAAAAGGCCATGAGCCAATAAGAAATGAGCTGAAAACAACAGTGTTCATTTATTTACTTCTAACTTAATTAACCAAACAACTGAAAATCCTGACAACTAGGTGGTAGGGTACTTTTATGTCAAAATGCTTTTATGTGAAAATATTTTGAACTGGCCACTTATTTTTGGTCCTTCCATTTTTAGGTGCCCAACCTGATACTTGTGGCTGGATTTTCAGGTGTTGAGTATCCTCTCAAATTCCACTAACTTCAAAGTGGAGTTGCAGGGGTTTATCATCTTTGAAAATCAAGACTATCTATCTCAAGTTGCCCTATGGGTCTGGCTAAAGACATAATTACTGGGATCTTTCCCTTCATGAGAATTAAATTTATACATTTTTTTAAACGAAAGTTTTAAATTTAGCATTTTTAAGTTGAAATATACCCTGAGAATAAGATGTTTTAATTCATCATCTGAGAGAAAAGCAGGTTTGTAGTTTGCTTCTGTATATGGGTTTGTGGCACCTTAAAGAAAAAAGAAAAGAGTGAATACCTCCTGTAAATAAACTTAATATACATCCATCTACTATACAGAAATATACTCTTGTTTACAAAGACTTTTTCTTCCGTGCCTTTTGATGCTCCCTCATGTTTTTTTCCAGCTGTATTCTAATTGCTAGTATCTTTTTCACAAGTGGAACCCAGCTGAAGACAACTCAGAAAAGATTGAACGCTGGCTGGAAAAAACACCGAAGTACACACTGAAGACAAGAATAGGCAGTAATTCAACCATTAATAACCCTTTAAGGCGGGGTTTCTCAAACTTCATTGCACTGTGACCCCCTTCTGACAACAAAAATTACTACATGACCCCAAGAGTGGGGACTGAGCTCGCCCAAGCCCTGCTGTCCTGAGTGGGGGGACAAAGCCAAAGCCTGAGCCCCACCGCCCCAAGGGGGGGGGGGGCTACAAAGTTGAAACCTAAGGGCTTCAGTCCCAGGCAGGGGGCCAGTAACCTGAGCCACACTGCCCAGGGCTGAAGCCATTGGGCTTTGGCCCCAGGCAGTTGGGCTTGGGCTTCAGCCCTGGGTAGGGGGGCATGGGCTTTGGCCACAGGCCCCAGCAAGTCTAAGCCAGCCCCGGCGACCCCATTAAAATGGGGTTCCGACCCACTTTGGGGTCCTGATCCCCAGTTTGAGAACCACTGCTTTAAGGAATAAGAATATTCCTCTTCACACAAGTGTTTTCCAAATGTTTTGCTGTGTCCAAGTGTGCTCTCCACGACAGAACAAAAACTGAGAAATTATTGAAGGGACTTTTGTTTTCCATCTTTAAATAATTTCTTGAATGTAGACTCTAGTCAACAGTGGCTGAAAGTCATTACTATCTGATGGCTACTCAGTGGCCTATGTGAAATGAACTGGTGATCTCAATCCAATTCTTACTGTTCATGTCTCATCAGAGGCCAAGAATTTGCATAAGCATTGAGAATGAACTACCATTCACTTCTACAGATGAGGCAGCTTCCAATGCTGTCATGCCACCCATGTCGTACCAATTCTAAAGTAATTCTTCTGATACAATGTCTTTTGAAAAGCAATAAATTGAGTTAAATTGGTAATGAGGATGCTGATGGCAAATTATAGCCTTACCAATTAAAAGTAGCACAGGAAGTTCGATTCTTTAACAGGGTAAGAGATAACAAATGTAATGTAAGATGTAATGCCTGATAATTCACAAGACAGAAACAAAATGAATGCCTCCTGGTCCTCCTCTGAGCCACCTTCCCACCTCAACTACTGACAATTATTAAAGTAACCTGCATAATTATGGCACTATATATATTTATTTAGATTTCAGCTATTTAACTATATATATCTATATATATATATATCTTTTCATTAACTTAGTTTCACTCTGTACCATCTTTGCAGTAAAACCCATACTAACTGTTTATATACAATACTCAAGTGCCAAAAGACTGTTTTTCTCCCCATCCTCAGATAAAAGCACGCCAATCTTGTAAATTAATAAAAATAGACAGAGAATGCTATAGTTAGGGTTCTGTTAGGAAAGTCTCTATGTAACCTTGTTTTGAGCTGCCATTAATTATCTCCAAAATTTTTCTTTTGGGTTGAAGATAGCCATACAATCTCAACGAAATTACAAATTCTTTGAAAGTTTGGTCAAGAGAGCCAGTCAGCTGTCTGAGTTAGCACAGCATTGAATTAATATGTACTTTTCCCGATTAAAGAGTATCTAGATCTTGTGCATGGATAACTCAATCAGAGGGGTAAGCAGTGTTAACTCAAACAGTTAATCATGTAGATAGACATCTCTGAGGAACTGTCTTCAAATTTTCAAAATAAAAATTCATCTATATATTGCTTTTGTGCATATAGTGCTAAATTTCTAGTGAGTCATTATTTGTAGTTCTTTACATGACCATATTGTTCAGTAAACACATTAGCATCGATAGTTACATTGGGGTGGTTTGGGGAACCTATTCCACCGAAAAGTTCATTAGTTATGTATGGTTTCTATTTTACAGAACTGTAGCAAAGTTAGCATTTGTGTTTTCTTCTCCCTCTCTCCTAGTCTTTTCTTTCTTTTCTTTTTTTTTAAACAAAACAGAGATGTTAAATGTTAAATACTTGTTTTGATAAAACTGTAGTTAAAAAGTTAACCACACAAATCTCAAAATTCAAAAGGTAATGCTCCTACAGAAACCTCAACCTTAGTATTTTATACTTGTAGCATTTTGTTGTCCTGCTTTTCTGGTTAAATATATATAATAAAATATACATTACAGCTGAAATTCACCCAGGTGCAGACAGCTGGCATAAGATCTTCAGCAACAATATTAAGTCCTGGAGGGCACAGCCTATGTGTCACAGAGGGGTCTCTGTGCTGGCCTGCATAAACAAGAATGGGCTGGGCTGAGTGAGGATCTACTGGATCAATGATTAAATGGATCCAGAGATCCTAGCAGCCCATTTCTCTGATATGAAACAGCAGGAAATGTCAGTAAACCTGTTTATAGATGATACTCTTCTGTACACTGATCCTGGGTTTTGGGGCTGGATTTTGCGTCCCTACACTATGCATTATGCACCACATGGGTGAGTTACCTTTCCTGTACAAAACTTGCCTTTATGTTGCCTGTCTTCTGCATTGTTTAACTGCAAACTTACATTGCCCTTAATTAGTAAGCCAGTTTCAGACTGCTTTTGGTCTCAAAGCTGATTTAAATGAATGCTGTCAAAGCAGAGTCAATTTGTGCCACGATTCTACCACTTTATCATCCCTCACAGAGATTATGTCTGCCAAGAGCATGAGTAAGCTAATATAAATAAGGGATTCTGCAGAAGGTACAGTGATGTCCATGCTAACACATATGGACCATGCTCTCAGTTCGTAAGCTCCAGACCAGAGCACACCTCATAGCTCAATGCAGAACAAAGATAAGAATTTTTTTAACTCACCTCGTAATGTTTTCATATGCTGAACAGCCATTCTCAGTACAGTAAGTTTATCTAGCTTTCGGGACATAGCATTGCACGTTGGTACCAAAGATGCCAATTCATCAATAAAACTGTTCATTTTATCTCGACGTCTTTTTTCAATCTGGCTATGAGCCTCTCTAAGCAATAACAAAATTTAAGATTGAATAGCATAATGAAGTTTCAAACGGTCAGAAAAAATAAAAAACAACTAATTTTAAAGTAGTAGACTACAAGGCCCACCCTGCACCCCTTATTCATAAGGACACACACACAAAAGTAGTCCCACTGAAGTGAATTATTATTAAAAGTTAATTACTTGTGTGAATAAGGGTTATTTATGGGAGTAAAGGTGAAAGGATGGGGCCCTAATTTAGCATCAGATACTCATATCATAGGCGGCAGCACTGTATGCTGCCTTATTTACAATAAATACTAACATTATCTGATAAGCAGGTTCTACCTATCTATCTTAGGTTTTTTATACTGCTGCCTGGGTATCTGAGCATATCTACTGAGGTACTACAAGAATTATGTAAAAATCAAGATCAAGATCATAGATGCATAAGTACCCCTGTGTACAGAACTGGATGAGATAACAATTCATGCCAAAGAATAGCATTAAAAAGTGTAAATACTATAATTCACTATAATATTCAAATTCCTTGCTGAAGTTTGTGCTTTATGTAAATAAGTTTCCTATTCATCCTATAAATTACTGTTAAAAATATTTTGGAGAACAGCCCTACACTAGGCTCTTCCTATTGCTTAGAGAAACTGCAGAGCAGCGTATCATTTTGACATTGCACGTTCAAATTCAAAGTGGCTTTTTTTTTTGTTTGTTTTATATATATTACATGTACTGTAGCACTTTACAGCCTGGTAATGCTATAACACTTTTCGCATGCAATGCTTTTGGTTCAATGTAAAGGGAGTTAGCCATGCTATTTCTATCTTCTTAAAAGAACAAATCTTTAAAACTGAAAACAGATGGAAAAGCCAAACAGAAAAAAGCCCAGATATAAGCTTTTACTTTGAGACTCAGGCACAGGTGCACAAAGTCCCTAACGTGACAGGAAAACAAGAATATCATCTTTTTTCAGTAAGTTAGTTAAAAAATAAAATAGTTTACCTTGCATTTTTTATTCTGCCTTGTTGGTCTGTATATTCCAACCTGATGAGGAGGAAGTTAAATTACAAAGTCACAGGTTTATTGCCATTATTTTCTACATAATTTTCTAATAATTGCTTTTGTATACACTAAGTAGCTGTTGGTCTTTAGTTACAACAATATTGTGGGGGTCATGCTAAGTTTAGAAAGGATTTTTATTTACAGTAGGTTTTCCCAGTAAGATTCATGTTACTTTCTATTCTAGCTTTAACATGAAGCCTTGATCCTGCAAATTCTCAGACCCACATGGAGCCCAGCCCCTGAGACTTCAGTGACAAGCAATACAAATGAAAGAGTTCACCCACAAGGATCTGGTCTCTAATTAAATCTCTTGGAGTGCACATTTTGGTAATAGTGTAACAGTACCTTCCGTGCTGGTCTTCTTTATCTGTATCCATACCTTCTCTACAAAAATCAAAACAAAACAGCATGTCAGAAATACAGTGGAATTAGCGAATGTCAACTTGTTTATGAAATAAGCATTTATTCATGCTTCTTAAAGGAAAATCACACACAGTTATTGGAAAAATCATTAATGAATTGTTTCTTTTGTCTTTAAACCCTTTAGTACAAAAAATAATACACCAATTTATTCAGAGAACATAAAAATGTTTCTGTGAAAGAGTACGAGGGGACCACATCAGTGGAATAAACCAAGATGTTCAAGTAATTGTACCAGGCAGTAAAACAGGCTTCAATTCAGAGAAGGCATCAGTGTTATTAAAATGTCCTTTAATCTACAGACACGTCCTTTTAAGTTTTTCTTCTAAGCAGAAATACTTTTAATCCATTAACAGTCAACTTGCATTTGCAAAACAGAAACAAAAGATTCACAGTAGCAGATTAATTATTGACTCTAAAAATAGTCACTCTAAGTTCCACATCTTCAAACTTCAAAGTCTTCAGCTAACAGTCAAAAGTTCTTCATGTTCTGTTTAATCTTTACTTAAGGTCACTTCTAAACTGAACATGACTAAGTTATTTAGACTTCTCATTCTGTTTAAGACTCCTTTTTGACTCTTGGTGTTCACATTCTTGCATGGAGTCTGCAGGTGCAGATCAATGAAACAGAAAAATTCTCTCTCTATACCCCTCCCCCATTTATTTAAAGATTTGTTCTTGATCTCCTATTTCAGAGCACCACAATTCATTTTCTACATTTTAAAGTCTTTTCTATATCAGTTCAATGGGAATCTGGAAGTACCTCTCAATATAGGGTTTGCTTTGAAATTCATCTGTGAGCTAATATTCATAAAGGACTTCAGTACATTGGTGCTAGGGAACTCCTACCAGTGGATTCTAACCTAGGAGTCTACCTGTAAAGATCTGAGGGTGCAAGTTCTCAGTTTCAGTGGGTCTAGAACCTGGGATGGTGAAGGCCCTGAGGTCCGACACTCCCTCAGCTCCACAAAGAGAGACGGATGAAACATCACCTCACAAATCCTGGAAGGACAGACCCGCACAGGAAGTCCTATCAGAATGCCCAATTGGCTCATGCCCACTACATAAGCCAGGAAGTGACCAGGGTGGGCTGTCCAAGCAACCAAGCAGAATGTATGTTGCTGCCGGGTCAGATCCTGCTCTCACCCGCCCCCTGAGATATGCATTGAAATCACTCTTCCCAGTTCCTGCTCTGCTCCAGTTCTGTTCCTGCACTTACCCTCTGTTCCTGCCTTGCTTCGTGCCTGATCCTTGTCTTCTTTCTGGCTCCTGTCCCTATACTCCTCTCCTGACCATTGGCTATCAGTTCCATCTCTGACCCCAGTTCATCTTCTGGCTACCAACTTCTGACTCTGAATCCAGCTCTGCCACATTGCCTTGCACATCCCTCTCCAGCCAAAGAGCGCACTGGATCTTGTCAAAACTAATCAACAGGGCCCTCCTGTTGTCCAATCTCCCAGGAAGATCCCTGGGCCTTACTGGTGTATAATTTGACCTTCATAGGGCGTATAACCAGCATAGATTAGATCGGGGGACAAATGGAAGACCGCATTTCGAACACTCTGGCACTTGGCGTATCTGGTTATGCCATTTGGGTTAACCAATGTTCCTGCCACCTTCCAACACTTTGTCAACAACATGTTCTGGGACAGTCTGGACCAGTTTGTAATTTTCTACTTTGATAATACACTGATATTTTCTGAGACTCCTGAGCAGCACAGTGATCACATCCAGTTCATCCTGGAAAGAAGTACGGAGTGTATGTCAAGCTCCATAAATGTACATTTGACCAGCAATCCTCTGAGTTTGTGGGGTATATCATTTCCCCCCTCAGATAATCTGAATGGACCATCAGAAAATTGAAGCAATCCACATCTAGGCAGCACCCAGACTCTCCGGGAGATGCAACACTTTCTGGGATTAGCAAAATTTTATCAGAGATTCATTTAAAACTTTTCAGGAAAAATAGCCCCCCACCCTCCCTTCTCCACAAATCCATTAAGTTCATTTGGTCATCTGAAGCATAATAAGCATTCGATCAGCTCAAGATTGCCTTCACAACCACCTCCATTTTAGGACATCCAGGCCCCAATCAGTAGTTCATGGTAGAAACAGGCAAAAGAGTCCTGTGGCACCTTACAGACTAACAGACATATACTAACAGCCTGGTAGAAACAGATGCTTCTAGTATAACTCTGGGTGCTGTCCTGTCCCAATAGGCTATCCTGTCCCAATCAGTACTACACCTTTGTGCACATTATTGATGCAAGCTTACACCACTGAATTTCGGAACTATGAAATACTGGACACAGAACTGCTCATCATTAAATCCACTTTCAAAAAGTAGTGACACTATCCGGAGAGGCTTGACATCCAGTACAGGTATTCCCCAATCACAAAAACATGAGTATCTCCAGAGGGCTTGGGCCCTGAGCCAAAGACAGCTCCAGTGAGCACTATTCTTCTCCCGATTTAACGTCACCATTTCATACTGTCCAGGAACCAGCAATGGGAAAGCAGACACCCTCTTATGTAAAGGGGAATATTACCAAGAAAACAAGGAGCCCAACTCAGAACCACCCCATCTCCTGAAGCCCTGTAACTTTGTTTACACCGTGACCTGATAACCATCCTTCAGACAGTTGCTCAAGAAGACCTTTCTGGAAGGTTCCACCTAGGAAGGGAATGGCCAAAGTGCAACAATCCACATGGGATGGGAGTGACATATGCCAGTGGGTACATATACATTTTGCCAGGGCATGCCCTGTTAGAGACATTACATTTATGCCATGACGCCCCATTCGCAGGCCTCTTTGGTTGCCTCAAGACTTTTTGCACGATCACTCATTTCTTCTGGTGGCTTGGTATGCATGTGGAAGTCTGGGCCTTTGCAGATTCTTGCACCATATGTGCTCATACTAGGACACCTTGGGTAAGAACCTAATATCTCTGGAGACTCTGGCCATACCTGGATCTCAATCACTCTGGACTTTGCTGTGAAGCTCCCACACTCTGAGGGCCACACCATAGTTGTAGGCTGACTAATTAAAATGGCCCATTTCATTTCCTGTGATTGTCAGCCTTTGGCCAAAACAACAGCCCAGCTGCTGGTGACACACATCATTTGCTCTCAGACCAAATCATCCCTGACCGAGAGCCAATATTTGTGTCTCAATTCTGACAGAAGATAATCCAACTAATAGATGTTCATGCATCCACCCCCACTGCGTATCACTCCCAGACCAGTGGGCAGTTGGAGAGAGTCAAGTCAAGTATTGGAACAATACTTGTGTGCTTTATTAACTTCCATTGGGAAAACAGAATCTCCCTGTTACCATACATCAAGTACTCCTACAATGGTGCCGATCATGTCTCCTCTGGGCAGAGTCCCTTCTTTTCAAATTTTGGATATCATCTCCATTTCCACCCTGTGTTACCCACAGACTCCCCAAAGCTGGTGGCCATCAACTGGGTCCAGTGAATTCACCATATCCAAGATTAACTCCGCAATACCTGGCTGAGGCTAAAAAAGCCTACAAGTTGTTTATGGGCTGGTAACACCAAGAATGTTTGGTGTTTGTTGTGAACCAGAACATCTGGCTCATCGCAAATCACGTCAGGGTGATCAGGCCTTCTTAATAGTTAGACAATTAGTTCCTCAGTCCTTTCCAAACCTGCAAATAGGGTGCAGCAGAGTCGCATATAAGCTTCAACTTCCCCAGTCCCTCTGCATCCACCAAGTGTCCCAGGCATCAATTCTCAAGCCCTGCATAGAGAATCCCTTCCTGGATTGGTCTCAACAACCCACCAGTCAAGATTTAGAGGCATGAAGAATATATCGTGCACAAAATCCTTGACTCCTGTCTGCAGCGAAGCTGCCTCCAATACTTCATAGACTGGAAAGGTTACCATCCCAAGGGATGATCTTGAGACCCCATGACCCACGTCTATGCCCCTGAGCTAGTGGAAAATTTTTACTGGGATCATCCCAACAAGCCAGGCCCAGTGGCGTCCCAGAAGGGAGCACACCTAAGTATAAGAATCCTGGGGTTCAGGTTCTCAGTTTCAGTGGGTCTACAACCTGGGTCTCTAACACTCCCCCGTTGCCAGCAAGGGAGATGGTTGAAGCACCACCTCATCAATCCTGGAAGGTCACACCCCCCAGAAAGTCCCATTGGAATACCCAAGATGTGCGGATGCCTGATTGGCTCCTACTCACTATGTAAGTGACCAACCCTTTCCAGGAAGTGACCAGAGAGGACTGTCTGAGCACCTGAGCAGACTTTACATTGCTGTTGCACTGGATCCCGCCCTTATTTGTCTCCTGCAATCTTTATTCAACCCATTCCTGGTTCCAAATGGGCACCCAAAATGTGGTTTTGGGTGCCCAACTTGTGACATCTGAAATGGCTGACTTTCAGAAAGTAGGTGCTCACATTTTCTGAAAATCACTCCCGTTTAAGGCATCTCAGATTGGCACCCAAAATCATTAGTCACATTTGAAAAATCTGGATCTCAAAAATAAGGGTCCAATTCTGATCGCCACTGAAGGACCTTTATACTGCTCTAGCAGCTTCCAAAGCATCCTATAAGTTCCTTGGTCCCTTACATGGTAGGCATAGTATTCAATTTACACAACTTTGTTTCAATGCTCATCTAATAAGCATATTTTTAGCATGAGGAGTAGAGTACTCCAAACTGTACATTAGAAGACATTCCGTATCATCAAAAAAGAGCAGAACTTGAGTAGTTTGTTGAGGTCATCAGAGTCTCAATCAAAAATAAAAACTTTGTTACAGATATTCTGTGGGGGAGGGAATGAGAGAGAGATTATTGTTTATACTTACTCAAAGGAAAATCCATCAAGTCTGGAAAGATAAAGAAAAAATTATTACTCAATGTACAAAGAGCGTTAGTGCTTACTAGACTACATTCTGCTAATTGCTATTGTTTGTCTTAATTTCCAGTTTTTCCCCATTCATATACACTGACATGCAATTTGGAGTCTGGAAAAGCAAATAATTTTCATAATCTAAAGTGATAAAATTGTTTATAACCTACTTCCAAAGGGAGCAACTCCCTCCTGGTTATGGTGTGTCTTATGGTCAGGAGAAGAGAACTGTCAAAGATTATTAAACTTAGGCTTTAAGGAATCAGTGTGTTCTATCACTTATTTAACTCTTAAGTACAAATTCTACCCCTGAGATTAATGTTAGAACATATCCAAGAGCAGACTTTGTCTTTCTGCAGGAAAGGAGGAATTCAGCAGTGCTATCCATTCAGAAAGATAAATATGGAAAAATGCTCTCTTGAGGTAGCAGAAGTTGATAAGATAAAGAATGCTCCAGCTAAATCTGCTAAGATTCATTTAAATTTAGAACAGCGATTTTATTCCAAAAAGGCTGGCCAAATGAATATTGCAGGTGAAAATGTATACAGTACATATGTCCAGAGTCTCCAAAGACTACTAGAATTCTGAATTTGGATTTCCCTAAAGTAGAAACTGTCCTCAGGGATCCTACTCAAAGGATCTTAATTTACTTCATAACTGACATGCTCAATATGGATTAAAAAATTGTCCAGACTCAGGAACTAGGACGAAAGAATCTGTACAGATTTGTGTGAAAACGGGCTATACTCCAAATGGAAATAATTGTGTTAAATAATCGATAAGAGCTTCCTGTAAATTATTCTGACTTTTACTCTTTTACAAGTGATTTAAAGCCTTTGGGTTGGTCTTGAGGTGCTTACTACAGAATATGGATTATCTATTCTGACATTCATCAGAAATGACTAAAATCTTCTCTTTCCTAAAAATGTCCTACTTTCCATTTCCTCCTACTAGTTAGGCATACTAAATCCTTATGGTCTAAATTATCTGCATTCATTTCCCAGCTTCATATATCTACTGTAAGTATCCCTACAATATTGACAGTAAAAAAAGGAACATAATAGAATCTTTCATTAAAAACAAAGAGTTGGGTCCTGATCAAATTCCTACTAGATCAACTGCTTGGCTCAGCCTTGTTTTACCTGGGCATTAGAGCAAATCACAGAACACTGGTCAGGGCAAAGAACCAGGCAACAGGACATCTGAGGTCTACTCTCAGTTCTGACATTGATTTACTGTATGACCTTACTTAAGATTTGTAACATTACGAAGTTTAAATACTATTTCTCATGTTTTTCTGCCTGTAAAGCCAGATATACTTAGTACCATGAATCCAACTGTAGAGGCCCCAGATGGAGAGAAAAACACAGTTTAGAAACTGCTAAAACTTATCTAAAAAAAAGTCTATACATAATATTGCTGTTTGATATACCTTGCTTTAAACAAGGCTAGAAAGAAAAAGAGTGAGTATTTCTAAAGCCAAAACTTAAAAGAAAGCAAATGTGTTAATATTTCTATGTATAACATATACATATACCCTCCAGGCATAAACATCCCAAACATGCAGTGCTGATGGTCATGTCAAAGTACTGAGTCATTTGATAACCAGTCAACCACTTTGCCCAATCCATTTGCATCAGCGTGACTTCTAACATTCCAAATCTCTGAGCAGTTTTCAAATGAAAAAATAAAACAAACTACTAGAAAAATGTTTGCCTTTTCCTAAGAACTTCACCCCAATATATAGAATTGCTCTGCAAATGTTGCCATTAAAATTACATTGGTTTGTGGTCCAGGAAGGACAATATTCTACTTTGGAAAAGTTACAGGTTCAAGTTCTGATCTCCCTCAACACATGAGCACTAGAAATGGAAATTTTATTTTATTATAAAGCCAGGAATTTCCCCTTTCTGTTGGGATAAAGCTTTTATTTACAGAAGTTCCAATATTCATATAAACACAGGTTATCAAATGTGTTCAAGAAACTATGCCAAAACACATTACTTCTTCATAGCAAAACTGCAATAGGGTAGAAAAGATAAGTATTCCTCTCAACTGAGTTAAAATTAATAGAAATCATACTTACTGATAATCAGTAGAACTTCCTTTCCTTTTCCTATTGCAATCCATTCCTGAAGTGCTAAGGGAACTGGAGATTAGGTTGGTGGGTCCTGGTGACATAAAATCACTAATTGTAGAAGAGATGTCCATCCTTTGGTCAGCCATTGGATCGTCTGGAATTACCAAAAAAAGAAGCATGTGGGTCCCTTACTTTTGCATTATATTTAAAAAGAAAAAAAACTACAAATTTTGTTTTAAACAAAGCAACCCCCCAAAAAAACGAAGCTAAGAGAATTTGCTAGAGATGAATTTACATAATTTATGTTCACTATAAAACCAGCACACTTACGAAATTTTGAAGAGAAATTAAATTTCTTTTAGTTAACAGTGTTCAACAACACGTATGACAAATACTTAATAGTATATAACTAAGACAGTTTTCTCTAAAAGTTATGTGACTTAAAGTCAAGCAATGTTTCATACAGCTGCCAGGATGTGCCAGGCTAAGTAACATAACATAATCAATTTCTTAAAATGCTGTCTTACACTACATTGTTAACTGCGATCTGTTAAGCACAAACACATAAGCAATAAGTGTGGAATACCTAGAAGTGGGGGCAGGCTTAAAAAATAGATCAAAGCATCGTAACAGCTATATAAGGGAAAAGAAACAAGGCAGAAGATGTGGCAGAGGATGGGTGAATTGGATAAAAAGTACTAGAGAGGGAACTAAGGAAAACATAAAGGTGTAAGGTAGTAAAAAACTGGAGTGGAAAGAGAACCAACAAAACAAACAAAAAACTCTGAGATGGCTTAAAAAGACTGAGCAGAGGTGCAAAAGATATCAATTAGCCTTAATAATGTTTTAGAGTACTATAGACCAAATAACCCACTTAATTATATTTCGCAAGGAACACTGCCAGAATACTGTATGTAATAAAATATTAGACATCCAAAGTAACTATATATCAGCAGCAACTAAATAACAATGGACAGTTCTTACTTTAAAACTTACTTTCTGGAAGCCTAGCTCCAACCTAGAAGAAAAGGTCTGCACTCAATCTGCTAGCTGATTCTGCCTCAGCAATCACCTTAAAACTTCTTTCATGCTCTGCTGTTTGTTAGTCAAGCTATTTCAAAAACCTGAATGCGAAGAAAACAAAAGAGCCATATCTCTTTTAAAATATGTCCAGCCAACCCCTTTTAAAATTAAGTTTGACAAAGATGTCCTGGGAGGTGTTAGTTAGTTAGAAATAAAAAACAAAAACAAAACAAAAAACTGCTGTCTAAGACAGCTAAATTTTAATTCTCCGTGATCAACCACAAAACTTCTGGTTTCAGAGCAGCAGCCGTGTTAGTCTGTATTCGCAAAAAGAAAAGGAGTACTAGTGGCACCTTAGTTAGTCTCTAAGATGCCACTAGTACTCTTTTTCTTTTCACAAAACTTCTGTTAACTATATAGCACAACAGGTGTACCTGGCACCTCACAACAAGTAATGTCCCTGCCTGAAGCAGCTTACAATCTTTGAATACATACAGTAATATTAGTGGTTTAATTAGAAGCAGGAGCACAGTTAAAGGAGATAAGTAATCAAAAATAAAGCCAAGGAAATGGGTTTCAAATGGACATATCAACTTAAACACATTTCTTCCAATTTTTTGGCAGAAATTTGCTTAGCGTTCTAAGAACATCTGAGATCACTATAAGTGAAAAGACATCAGTTTTATGTTGTGCATTTGAGAGCACTTTGTATCTACTTAGGTGTCACTGTATTCCCGTTTGTTTATTTGTATCTTTAACACAGAAATAGGGGGAAACCAACTATTTTTTTAATACTAGGAAAACATGATTAGCTCTTTGAAATTTCTCCACATAAAATACTGAATTTGACCATGTTATTTCTAAATGGAAACCTGCTCTGTGCTGTCAAACAACTGGATATAGAGGAGAGGAACTGTTGGTCCGAGCAGAGACAGGGAATAAATGGGAGCAAGGCTTCTATCAGAGTCATGCTTAGTTAGGCGATGAGGAAGCTTGGGTCAGGAGCACAGAGCCCTCCAAACATCCATAGGAATTTCCTTGGCATCTTTTGGGATAGCTACTGGTTAGGAGAGCTATGCTCCATGCTTGCTCTAGGCTGATTGGGGACAAGTCCTGCACCATCCTGATGGCATGACTAACAGGAAATTCTTTGGACCTTGTACCTGGTGCAATTATTACACCAATGAAAAGTGAGCGTAACACACTGCTAAATCAGAATGGTAGCACTTTGCACTAACTGTTCACTCATGTAAATGACTACACAAGGTGCAATGATGAATTGAGACCTCCAATTCCTGGCTGCCCCTCCTTCCACCCTCACCCTGTACAGAAAGGCTGATTGGCCCTTAATCTCAAACAAAGAAGGCAGGGATATATTTTGATCTTCATATGCTAAAATCTTGTAATAATATTCTTAATTACATGACATGTTTTAAAAAAGGCAAAGACTATAATAAAGTGGCATGATAAACAGAAATTACAACCATACTGAAAAGAAATACCGAGTACTGGTTAGGGAGTGGTCTACAAAATAAGGCTCTGATCCAGCCACAAGGCCCCTATGACTGCAGCATCTGGGATTAAACTTCCTCTTCCCCATCAGATAAAACAGTAAGATTCTCGAACTTTATAAATTAAGTTGTGTCAGTTATCAAACATCCTAAACTTTTTAAAACTACTTGCACCAAAACAACTCTAACTCTGCCCTCAAAATTAAGACTAGGCAAATAGCATATAGCACATTAACATAGTTTCTCCTCACTTCTAGAGAAAAAGCATCCACTGACAACTCAAACTGTTTCAGAGTTACATACTATGGACAGTCAAACCTTAATAGCATATTTTCGTCCCAGGCAAACAGAACTTTTATAATCCAGTAACAATGCCAAATGCTATATAACAAAGGAGAAAAAATTACAGAAATTGAACTGGCAGTATGGCAGATTGATGGAAGAAAATTAAAAAAGTAGGAAAATTATGAGATGCACCATACTCCATCATGAAGGACTGAACGCTTTTAGCAGAATAAAGTTATGAGAAAAATGATGACAAAACATTCATACAGGGAGGAGGATGTTTTCCCTATAGCACAATCTTTTACCATCATTACACAAAACTATTGCTTTCAAGCAGTCCTGACAGTTTATTAACTTGTCTCTAGGAAAGACTGAAAGAAGCAAACTTCTTCTGGATCATTATTCGCTTCTTTAATTATTCTGGCCTGATTAAAACTTAGAAGGCTTGTTTATACATAAATGAAGGTTAGGTTCGTATAGTTCTGTGGGCAGTACAAGTCTGAACAGCAACATGAAACCTTGCATTGACTGACTCTGGTGGGCTTCAGCATCTTGTTCTGCAGCTTTATCTCAAAATTAGAAATATTAATATCAGGAGTTTTAATAGTCATACAGTGAGGCCACGCTCTGGTTGGCCCTGTTAGTCAAAGTGAGATTTTTGCCCTTGCTGTAACATTTATTGGTTCTACACCTTGTGGCTGTACGGACTCATGTAAATGAGGTTTTGGACATGTCGTCTTACGGCAAAACTTTGTGCACTGCTCATTTACCAGATTTAAGCATATCTGAATGCTGATACAACCCAGCTGGACAGCAAATGAGAATTTATTGCTACTTAAGGAAGCATCATCACAGAAGGTGAAAGATCAGATGCAGAAGTCAGCACCAGAATAGCAAGAGCATATTAACATCTGATGAGAAGGGACATAAATCTGAAGATTAAATTCCAACTCTTAAAAACATGCATTGGGTCTGTGTTAAATGATGGCTGTAAAACACAGATATTCAAACAAGCAGTAATAAAGAAATATGCTGTTATAGAAGTATTTTGAAAATATCGTGTAATGAATGAAAAAGTACTGGTGAGAATTGGAATTCAGCAAATGTAAGTCAGAGATCTTATGAAAAAAAAGAGATTTGATTTGCAGGGCATATTTTAGGGGTTCAGTGGGTGATGTATGTGTCTGAGCCCTGGGGGGCAAGTTGATCCCAGGCCAACTCTAAGTTGGGAGTGCAGAGTCGGTGTTTGAGCGGGGGCAGCGCGTGGAGCCCTGTGCCCCCGGCCCAGGAGCTGGACCTGCTGTTGGCTGCTTCCGGGGCGCAGCGTAGTGTCGGAACAGGTAGGGACTTGCTTGCCTTAGCCAGGCAGCACAACTGACGGGACTTTTAATGGCTCCGTCAGTGATGCTGACCAGAGCCGCCGCAACCCAGTCCCTTCCATTCCACTACCCAGTTCTGGGTCGTGACCCACAGTTTGAAAACCACTGAATTAGTCTCTTCACCTCTGCCTCTTCATCACTCTCCCCTCCCCCATGTCTTACTTTGCTTCTCTTCTCTCGGTAACACAGCTAAGCATCTAATGCTAGAAGTACCATCTCATCCAGATGGTCACTATGCTGCTTGAGTACTGTGCATCCATGGCACAATCCTCCAACCTGAGATAAACTCTGAGCATCACATATGGCATCTAAAATAAACCAATTTAAAAGACTCCAGCAGTACTTAGGAACAAAAGATTGCTTTAGGAACAGCATGTTTTTATTTTGCATGAGTAAGTTTTCACACAAAAAGCTACATTCTGAAGTTCATTTCAAAATACGTCTATACATCTCAATGATAATAAATAATCAGTCTAGCAATTAAATGTTCATTTAATTCTGCTGCTACTAAAATATTTGTAAATCTATAAAAAGCAAAAGCATCTACCTGAAGGATTAAAAATGTTCCTAAAAGCAAACTATTTTAAAGGATCTGGGTAATTAAATGAAAAACAAAACAAAACCCCCACAAAAAAAAAAACTTACTATATGGACTTATAACAAAATGTATAACAATCCCTCCCACAATGCTCACATCAGTCCTGAAAACCAGAATCTTACATTTCAGTCTCATGTCCATTTAAACAGCCATGTTATAAATCCCTTGAAATGAGGTTTAAAATGGAAACACTGTCAACCCCACAATCAGTGCATTACCAGCATCTCCCGTAATAAATTCTCAACTGCCTTGTAATAGTTACTAATTACAATGCTTTTTTAAAAATTTGGTTAAAAGGTAGATTTTGTAACTTTTTTCAGCTTCCAGCTGGTAACTGCTCAACTGTACAAAAAATTCC